ACTTTAAGGAATAGTAGGTTGTTTTCGATATTTGTATGTTAACAGTACAATCAGGAACATCGGTATAAAGCTTTGTTGGCATTAATTATCTTGCAACAAATTCGTGAGTCAAACCAGAGATACAAATTTGAAATTATTAAATTATCAAAAGCTGTTACAAGCATATAATTTAAATAATAATAATTAAATAAAAAAAACTGCAAGTTTGTAAAGCATAAATAATTTAATTAAAACTTAAGACCAGTCAAATTAAAAAATAACGAACTGACTCTGTTCTGTTGTTTGTAAAAAAAATGTTTCTGCTCATTATTTCTGCCCTCATGAGAAGCACAGTTGATTAAATGATGAAAAAAAAACTATATCAAGGACAATGAATGGAAGGAAGCATATTGTAAAATAATGATGGAAATTTTTATATAGAAATATAAGTATATACATATTTCCTAACCATAAAACTTTCCCTAATCCTGGGTATAGGGAAATTTTTTGTTTTTCTAAAAAAAACTGTCAGTCATATTTAGATGAATGTTTAAAATAAGATAAACAAATTTTAAGTGTATGTACAAATGCAAACAATTGTATACATCTTAGTTTGTAAACACACACATGCATTTGAATATAAACATTTAAAAGTTTACATTTACTTATGATTATAATATATAAATATATAACAGTTAAGGGCATTTTTCTAAAAGCTATAAATAAGGGCAGAAACGAAACATTGCAAGAGTAGAAAGCTTTAAGTTGTGTGCTTTAATAGAAAAGAGTTTGCTGTAGATTTTTATACACAAACATACATTCTTTAATATTCTTAGTGCCCATCACTGCTTAATATGTTGTCGACTGCAAGAGTGTAAGTGTGACAACAAAGGAAAATGTTTTTTATACTCACATACATATTTTTTTTTTATAGCAACATAAAAAGGTAATGATATTTGATGTTTTTTCTTTTCTACAGAAAATAAATGTTTTCCTGTTACATTAAAATATAAAATTCTAGTAAATATCACTTCTAAGTTGTAAGTTTTACATGTCTACTTTTTTTTTGAAAATATATTTGAAATTTGTGTAAATAAATGTATGTGGATATTTGCATAAATCTTATTTAAATAACATCGACAAATGTTTACAGATGTCAGCATTTGGTTTAGAGAAAGATAAGTTTAAATAATCTAACTACTAGATAAAAATCGCTTTCATAAAGACATCCACTAACCTATAGAAAGGTTCTGTTTGTTTTCAAAGCTTAAATTCAGTTTAAAATAAGAAATTTATAATAATATTTAAATAAATAAATATTTAAACAATATTTGTTTTCAATAAAAAAATACTCAGCAAAATTTTTTCCAGAATATTTTAGGCTTAAAGCCATTTTTCTTTATAAAACTATTGAAAAGAACTAATATTTAATAATACTAAAAACATAAAGTTATAAACAAATACAAATATTATTGACATAATGTTAAAGTAAATAAAATAATAAAAATGTAAATTAATATATTTTTCCTAGAACATCAGGGCGTATGCTTGATATTATAATTGTTAAAGGAGTTAAATAATAAGTATACGTAGTGGTGGAAAAAGACATAATAGAATCATGAAATTTTGATAGCACATAGTTGTAATTGCATACCCTATAGCACTATAGTGGCAAGGGTATTATGCGTTTGTGTGTTTTTGACATCCCGGGGGCATGTTACCTTGATGTTAGACCACATCTTGGTGTGATTGCAATCCCGGGGAAAAGAAGTGCTACCGGTACCTCTAGTCTGCCGGGACTATACACTGGATATGATCAAATGTATCCTCGGCCTTATCTTGGAATGATTTGACATGGAGATGAACCACATAATCTGGTACCAGGGGAACTGGTAGCTCGCAAGGCACAGTTTCGGACTTTGTCTTGTCCCGGTTATTATAGAGGTCCCTTTGGGGTGCACGTGGTGATTGTAGTATCCAAATTCACGGGAAGAGAATGTCGGTTAAAAGACTGACGTTGAAATCTGTAATTTGGGACAAGTTCGGTGCTGTTGCCGAAGTCAACAGATACTCCACAGAGGAGTGACTGTGGGACTAAGCGTTGGAAATGAGTTGGTATTAAGTGTATATGATATAGGATGAATATATGGGTATAATAATCTTACCCGGCCGTATACTTAGAGTGTGTATGTCGGATGTTGTTCTCTATGGGTGTGTCGAATGAATGAGAAGTGTTCTTGGTTGAATGGTGATGGATATAAGGTATCTTATACAAGTTATAACATTGAATTTTCTTTCCATGTCCAGGTATGTTCAGGGAAAACTCTGTTCATGCCAGATTCACTACAGCGAGTTCTCGGTGAGTAAGAACAAAGCCCTGGTCTTATTTGATGAATTCTTATTTTGGTTTATCGAATATGCCTCTAGCTGCTGTTGCCGACTCAAACAGAGTCCATTCCATTTGCGTGGTTGTAAACGGAAGTGATGTTTTTTTGTTACAAAAAAGATCACTAAACCGTCTGTGTCCATGCAAACCTTGTGGTGATGTTTTTGAATCTCGGAAGTTAAGCAAAGATGCAGCAATGGCCAGAGATTATATAGCTCGAGTACTTGAGCAAAGTGCTTGTAAATGGACCGGCAGAACAATTTACAAAAATTTTCACCCGCGTGTAAGATACACAAAGGGTGGTGGTGGTGAGTCGTCAAATAAGCTCACACAAAAAGACCACAAGTCTGTGCCCATGCAAACCTTGTGCTCACGCTACAGATCGAAAATTTCAAGATAAATTGATGAAATTTGGCACAAGCTCTTATTTTAACCCGAAGGACAAAGCTTATTTAAAATGATTAAAATCGTTCCATTAAAGAACAATAGGGTATAAAAAATCAGTCCTTTTTTGGAGAAAACTACACGCAGAGAAAAAACATGATTCGCGATGGTTACTACAACTATACTATGGTCACTGTAACAATATATTGCTATCAATTTAATGTTTCTAGGATCATATTATAAAAAATTCAATTAGTACCTTTTGAAGAACGAAAAAGTACCAAAAATTCCCATTTTTGAGTTTTGCATTTACTTTATTTGATTTATTTTATGTTTTTAGGTACTTTCAAAAATACTTTTTGAAGAAGGAAAAAGGTCCAAAAAGTTCCCTTTTATAGGTTCTCATTTACTAAGTACGCGCTCTACATATGTACTTAGTTACATGGTTCAAGCCAATAACAACACAAAAGTTCTTTCGTAATGTGTTGTTCTTGGCCTGCTTTGTGTTTATATAAACAAGCAAGTATAAGAACAAAATTTACCGTATGATGCTGTGTGTTGTTGTTTATTTTGTCTAAAAATGCACCAAAAAATAAATTTCTAAGAAATTTTTAAAGGTTGTCTCAGATTTTTGCTCATATCTACGTTATTTATTAACCGATTTTGCTGATTTTAAGTAGAACACTTATCGAAAGCATAACTGACAGAATTATTAAAGATTTGGTCCCCAAAGATATCTGGCGTCTTCAGAAAATTGATTTTAACAAACAGACAGACGGACGGACATAGCTTAATCAACTCCGTTATCTATAAGGACTCTGAATATATATATTCCACATAGGGTTTTATAGAAATTACAAATGGAATGATAAACTTACATACACCCTTCTCACGAAGGTGAAGGGTATACCAGATTGAATAAGAATATATAAGGAGGCAACTTTTATGTAGATTTTCGCTCATCAAATGTTACTTTTTCCATTTTTTTTAATATCGAACATAGAAAAATAATTAAAATCTATAGCAAGTGACTCTTTAGTATGTTTTCAAATGGGACTTTTTGAATTTTGAAGAATTTTTTCGTATAACCTTGAAACATATATTAAGTTTCTTGAAAATAAATAAATAAAAGAGAGTTTGTAAGAGACTGATATTTGGTACTTTTTGAATGTTCCATAATATGAAGCTGAAACACATACAATTAAATAATTTTGCTAATTATTACTTCATATAAAATTTAACATATAAGGATATTTTTCTAACTTTTTTGTTCTTCAAATTTAAATTTCTATAATACTGAGCATAATTTTTCATTATACATTGTGATGGTACTTTAGATATTTTCTATAATATGGAATTTTCTTTCCTTTAAAAAAGTATATAAAACCACAGAAACATTAAGAAACATCTAATAATATGTATATTTCATTGAACATCAGGACGTATGACTGATGTTAAAAAATATTACTGGAATTGAATATTAAGTATACGCAGGGAGAACAGATAATATAAGAGTATTATGGTTTTGACTATTGTTTCACGTTTTTTCAGTAATTTAGACTCTAGTCTGTTGAATATTAAACATCATTTGACTCCGCTACGTATGAATGCTATTTATAATGAAACTCATACAAATGTTACTCATACGTACAGGTACATAATATATTTTTTATGTTTTTCAAAAAAGTTTTTGTTATAAAAAACGTGTTCTTTCTTGATCTGGGATCAGAAAACTGAATAAATTTCTGGAAGCCTTAAGGTATTTCCTATTTATCCTCAAAAACTTTTCTCAGACCCGAAAGAAATTTGGAGCCTATGTTATTAATGATAAAAAATACAATTTTTGAGACTTTCGATTTAATTTTTGGGAATTGCGAGGCTTTCTTTGACCTATTCTTAGATTCATTTAGACAATAGTTGAGTTAAATTTTATAATACAGATTTTAATCTTGACTATATAGTAGTTGTCTAAACGTTTTAGCAATAGTTAATACTATAGACTTTACTATTGTTTAGGCTGCTGCTATGACTATAGCATAGACTATGTATAGTTTATAGTTTAGACTATATAGGTTCATATTCAACTTGACAATATTGTAGCCTTAGTTTAAATAGTAAAAAATTTAAAAAATATATCTTTAAAAGAAAATTTGTTTAAATATTTATCTTTTGATTTTTTTTCTTTAATTCCAAAAACATTTTAATTAATTAAACACTATCTCATACGAAAAATTCTATCTTCTATTTGCAGATTTACACAAATCCCTTTAAAAGCAACTTAGAAAAGAAAAACAAACAAGAAAATGCCAACAAAATGGTCTTTGCCTGGAAAAAATGATTTAAAAGGAAAAGAAAACTAAAAATTTTATTCAACAAACAAACTAAAGTAACAAGAAATTAAAAGAAAGCTCTAAAACTAAATACACAAAAACGAACGAGATATTAGGAAAAGCAAAAAAAAGTTGTTAATTAAAAAAAAATTAACAAAAACTAAGAAAAAAGTAAAATCCACTATAAAACGACAAGAAAATGAAGAAATTAAACATAAAAAATCAAATAAAATAAAAAATAAAAAACGTGACAATATTTAATCCCTTTTCTTTCAAAGTAAAACATGTTGTAATTAATAATAATTTAAAAAATAAAATAAAGAATTTAATTTAAAATTAAAAGAAAACAATTTGCAAATTAAAATTATTATTAAAGTGATACTTTAATTTGTATTAAACAACAAAATATATTTAAACTAATTCAAAACAACAAAGAAATAACAACTTACAACAAAATGTTGCCAACAAATGTGATGACGTTTATGAAAAAGGTGAGTTGTGAGAAGACAAAAGTTTAGTCCATAGTCTAAGCTATATACTTATATAAAACAATATTCCGATATTTTCCCTTCCATAATTTAGACCAAATTCTCACAGTTTTCAAAACTCAAATTTACGTAAATTCTTTAAATTTATTTCACTTTAAGATCTCTTTTTTTCCACTACCAGCATAATTTATAAATGTCCTTTCGGCCTGAACAAATTTTCTCATCTGTCAACAACACATAGTAAATGATTTAATAATTCAAACAAAATAAATACTATACAAAATGCTACTATATAGTAAATATAACAGAGTAGTGTAAGTATTAGTTTAATGACAACTTAAAATACTTGTACAACAACGCATCAAGCATCAAAACGACAAATAAACTAAATAATGTTAATTAATCATTTTATTTTAGTTTTATGTTTAACGTATCGCTTGGCAATGTGGAATACGTGTATTTGTCATTGTCAAATTATCAGGACTTGTTTTAAGAGTGATAACAATCCGCATGTGTCATAAAGACGAAAACAAAATTAATTTTCCACAAATGTGAAGGCATGTAAGGGATGGTGGTGTATTACCCAAGGAACATTTTTGGAGTAATATGAGAGGTGATATAGTATCACATTTTGTAATCGAGAAGAAATTTTAATAGAAAAGTATAGACTGTAGTCTTGACTTTAGTTCAGACAATAATCTTGACTACAGTTCAGACTATAGTCTTGACTATAGTTCAGACCATAGTTCAGACTATAATCTTGACAATAACTCAGAGTATAGTCTTCACTATCGTATAGACTATAGTCTTGACTATAGTGTAGACCATAGTTTTGACTATATAGTAGACTATAATATTAATTATAGTGTAGATTATAGTCTTGACTATAGAGCAGGCTGTATAACCTGAACTGACTATAGTTCGGTCTATAGTTTTGACTATAGTTCGGATTATAGTCTTGACTATAATTTAGATTATAGTCTCGACTATAATTCAGACTATATTTATGTCTATATTATAGCCTATAGTCTTGACTATAATTCAAACTATAGTCTTACATATATAGTTAAAAATATAGTCTTGCTTACAGTGTAGACTATAGCATTGACTATAGTTCAGAGTATAGTCCTGACTAATGCTCAGGTTACAGTTTTCACTAAACTAACTAAGACTATAGTTTTGACTGTAGTTCAGACTATAGTTTAGACTACAGTTTCGACTATAGTCTTGACTATAGTTCAGACTATAGTCTTGCCTATAGTTCAGACTATAGTCTTGACTATAGTTTAGACTATAGTTCAGACTGTAGTTCAGACTATAGTCTAGTTTACAGTTCAGACAATAGTCTTGACTATAGTTCTGACCATAGTTCAGACTGTAATCTTGACAATAGTTCAGACTATAGTCCTGACAATAGTTCAGCCTATAGTCTTGACTATAGTTCAGACTATATTCTTGACTATTGTATAGACTATAGTCTTGACTATAGTGTAGGCCATAGTTTTGACTATATAGGAGACTATAGTATTGATTATAATGTAGACTATAGTCTTGACTATAGCGTAAACTATATACTTTAAACTATAGTCAAGGCAACATATAGTAAGTTTTGACTATAGTGCAGACTATAGTTCAGACTATACTCTTGACTATAGTCTTGACTATAGTTCAGACTATAGTCTTGACTATAGCTCAGACTAAAGCCTTGACTATAGTTCAGACTATAGTCTTGACTATAGTCTTGACTATAGTTCAGGCTGTAGTCTTGACTATAGTTCAGGCTATAGTCTTGACTATATTCCTGACTATAGTCTTGACTATAGTGTCGACTATAGTTCAGACTATTGTCTTGACTATAGTGCCGACTATAGTTCAGACTATAGTCTTGACTATAGTTCAGATTATAGTCTTGACTATAGTTCAGATTATAGTCTTGACTATAGTTCAGATTATAGTCTTGACTATAGTTCAGATTATAGTCTTGACTATAGTTCAGATTATATTCTTAAATACAGTTCAGACTATAGTCTTGACTAAAGTCCTGACTATAGTTCAGACTATAGACATGATTATAGTATGGACTGTAGTCGTACCAATACTATAGACTATATTCTTGCCTATACTATAAAGTCGATAGTAGAGACTAAAATTCATTCTATAGTATAGACTATAGTATAGTATTGACTATAGTATAGACTATAGTATAGTATTGACTATAGTGTAGACTATAGTATTGACTATAGTGTAGACTATAGTCTGGGCTATAGTGTAGACTATAGTCTGGATTATAGTATAGACTAGACTATAGTCTTGACCATATTGTGTAGACTATAGTCTTGATTACAGTGTGGACTAAGTCTTGACTTTAGTGTAGACGATGGACTTTACTATATTTCAGACATATTCCGCAGTTTAATCGTGACTTTAGTCTTAACTATAGCGTTGGCTATAGACTGGACTGGACTATAAGTTAGACTCTAGTGTAGACTATAATAAGACAATGGATAAGACTATCGTTGGTACGGACTAAAAGTTATTCTATAGTTTTGACTACAGTTTTAGACTGCAGTCTAGACTACAATTAAACAATGGCTAGGACTATCGATGTTAGTTTTTTTTCGACTGTAATCTTGACTGTAGTTGGAATCGTAGTCGTGACTATAGTTTATAGTGTAGTGTTGGTTATATGTTACAGTATAGTTATGAATAGAGTGTAAAGATGTATATGTAGTTCTGACTACAATCTGTCTTTCCTCCTATTCTTCTGTTAAATGAAATTTGCTTTTTCAAATTCAGCTTGTTGATGAGAGATATTTTGTATTGAAATTGGATAAAATTTTTATTTTGTGCAATTGTATTTAAACGAAAAGATATTGCCCATTAAAAAGTGTTTATTGGGTTTTAACTGTTATGTGAATGTGTATTAGAAATTTGTATTTGTAGTGTATAAATAGAGTTCTTAAATTTCTTTATATTATGTTGTCACATGGCAAACACACTCACGCGTACATCAAGCGCTAAAACAATGTATTTCTTATTGTTTGCAAAATACACTGCACTAAAATAGTGAGATTTTTATTTCACAAAAGCTTTTTGTTGATAACTGTACAAAAGCGAAAGTATTCTGAAAAATATTAAGTATTAAAATCAGATTAATGTTCTACATAAGCAGATAGGCAGAGAGTAAAAACTTAGCTCTCTGACTGGAAGCGTTTTCATATGTATGTGTGAAAAAAGGATTTACTTTTCTATTGCACTGTTTCAAGTTTGATTGTTCTTTTGCTGGTGAGCTGCAAAAGACTCCAACTGCAAGAGTCTATTTAATTTACCTTTTGAAAAATTGTTAACAAAGCACGTCAGCATCATGTTCTGGGGTAAATTCAAATTAAAATTTGATTTTTTCTCTTACAACGACAATTGCTGGCGACTAACTATTATAAAGATATGGTAGTAAGAACTCAGAGTTAAAAAATGTTTTATTCATGATGAAAACTTATGAGAAAAAAATAACTCAATTTGTGTGTTATCGCCAGTTAATCCTTTTATATACAGAAATTTTTGTTAAAAACCGATCCCATACTTCTTATACATCATGTTTTGTAATGATTTAAAAAATTTCATAATTTAAAACAAAAAATAAAATAATATTTAAAAATATTCATCAACCAAAACACAGATTTTTGTGACCTATTTTTATATCACAACTTAAGTATATTTTATAATTTGTTCTTTCCTTTTTTTTTTTTGGTCAAAAAAATGTATGTTCACTTAAGCGTATTTAATTCAATGAGCTTGTGAACATAGAAAAAAACTTTCTCTTAATGTATTAGTTTTTCTAAACTCAAAAGGTCAAAGGTGACTACAAAAAAAGAAATATATTGTCGGGGGGAAAAAACCATGAAAAATTAAAAACACGTGCAAACTTTTTGTTTAAATTTCAAGCGAAAGAATACAATGACCCATAGCTAAATATACAAAATAATATCCACATCAGAGCAAAAGTTGAAAAACAGGAAATACTTAGAAACAGCTAAAGGAAATATCGCTTTAAACTTACAGGCTCGTGTTTTCTTTCAACAAAAAAAAAAAAAAAAACTGATTAAACCTTCAGCGTTTGCTCTTGTTGTTATAGATTCAACAAAAGCAGGAAATCCAGGAAACAACATACCTGTATAAAACAATAATATTTAACCTGCTGCTTTTGTTCTAAATAAAATTGATAAATGAATCAACAGGTTTTTAATTGTGTGCAAAATAATTCCTTGAAGCTTCTAATTCTCTGAAAAATTCATTGTTAAAATCCAAAACAGTCCTTTTAAAACCACAAATTTGATCTACTAACCTTCAGCCACATTTATATTGTATACATAATTCTTCAAGGAATTTTGAATTGTTTCATTACTTAGTTAGTTAGTTACTAAAGAAGAAATTAAAATCGCTTATAACTTCGTTCAAACACGTTTTAATAAAAAAATAAGCTTATTTCGTGATCACTCATATTCCCCTTCAATATTTTGACCGAAAACCTTGAAGAAACTATAAACCCTTATAACATCGTTAAAACACGTATAAATTGAAAAATAAGCTTATTTTGTGACCACTAATATTCCCCTTCAAAAATCGATATTTTGACCGAAAACCTTGAAGAAACTTAAAACGCTTATAACTTCGTTAAAACACGTTTAAATTGAAAAATAAGCTTATTTTGTGATCACTCATATTCCCCTTCAAAAATCGATATTTTGACCGAAAACCTTGAGGAAACTAAAAACCCTTATAACTTCGTTAAAACACGCTTAAATTGAAAATTAAGCTTATTTTGTGATCACTCATATTCCCCTTCAAAACTCGATATTTAGACCGAAAACTTTGAAGAAACTTAAATCGCTTATAACTTCATTAAAACACGTTTAAATTGAAAAATAAGCTTATTTTGTGATCACTCATATTCCTCTTCAAAAATCGATATTTTGGCCGAAAACCATGAAGAAACTTAAATCGCT